TTCTGAGTAGGCAATGATCTGGCCTCTGATGTAGGCCTTAAAGGTATCCCACATTACAAGGCTGGAAGTCTCTTGGGAAGAGTTAGTGTAATGCACTCTATGCTGGGGTCAGCTAGGCCTCCATCTAGCATCTCCAGCTCGTCCAGAATGCTGCTGCTTGGCTCTTAACCAGAGCATGTAGGTTTGAGCATATTACACCAGTTCTGTCCTCCCTTCACTGGCTCCCTGTCCGTACTAGAATAGATTTTAAAATTCTCCTGTTGCCCTATAAGTGTCTAAATGGCCTCGCACCCCTTTATGTCTCTGAGCTATTAGAACCATGTTCCCTCTCGGGCCCTGAGGCAGCCTGTTGTACTAATACTTCATCCCCTGAAAAGCGAAACGCAGAAATTTTCTGTGTTTTGGGATGATCGGTATGTGAAAATAAGCATCTTTTAGATCGATGGAAACAAACCAGTCGTTTCTCTGAATGTTGTCCAACAGCTGTCTGTTTGTCAACATGTGAAACGGTCTGTTCATGATCGCTTTGTTGAAAGCTGACAGATCCAGAATCGCTCTCATCCCTCCGGTCCTTTTGGGGACCAGGAAGTAGCGTGAGTAAAACCCTGTGTTTTCCTCTCCGTTGGGAACTCTTGAGATTACGCCTTTTATCAGAAGCTCCTGAACTTCTGCATTTAAGGCTGAGATTTGGTCTGGTGATGACAGGACCGTCTCTATAACTCCTCCGAACGGAGGGGGTCGGGTTGCAAATTGCAGCGTGTAACCCTTGCACAACACTCTGTCCATCCATCTGTCCGGCGAGCAGGTTTTTTGCCACTCTGCGTAACGTTCGTGGAGTGGACGTGCGTTTAAATGATGCGCCGTGTTTTGAACGGATGTCATCCAATCCTCCGCCTCGACCGCCGTCATGCGTCGCGGAAATGTTTTCCGCGTGACCCAAGGCGAGGCTTCCTCGAAAGGGCTGTTCTGCGCGCGCCCGTGCGCTGTGTCTGGATCGCGAACCAACCTTCATGTCTGGGCGGGGCGGTGTGTGCCGAGGCGAAGCGTGTGCCAGCTGATGACGTCGTGGGGCTGCACGTTTAACGTCGCTGTGCGAACGTTGAGAGGCGGAGGGCGTGACTTCATCAATGCCGTGCTGTCGAAGTGAAGGTTGTGAGCCTCGCGGGAGCGCACGTTTTCTCTGGAGGGACGCGCGCCGCTCTCGCTGGGGGCGGGGCTCGTCACTGGATTCGTTCAGCTGTCTCACGCTTATGCCGCCGTGATCTGCCGATCGCTGAGACGCGGTGGATGACGGCTGCTCACGTTTGCTCAGGTGAGGCGTGTGTTGTTTTCGCTGAGAGCGGGGGCCTCCACCGGACCCGGCCTGCGGTCCCACATTTATACCGATGTGAGCCGGTGAGCGCCGGGCAGCTGTGCGTGCATCATCAACACAGCGCCGTTTGGATGGAGGCTGCTTGCCTCGCTCGGGTGCGCGTTTAACACCGCTTGGGTGGTGATCGTGCGGGTCTGATTGACAACGAGTTATTTCGCTTACCGTGGTGTCGCGTGAGCGTCTCGACATGTGTTGGAGCGGCGGTGGGTTTAAAAAACCTTTATTTAAGGACACCGGCTCTTTATGTGTGGAGGATGTGTGTGTAGCGGCTGTGAGCTCATTCGAGCTTACAAACTGGCTAAAAACAGACACTTTGATCATTGAAAAATAATTTATTTCAATTCCTATGTCATTTATACACACATCCTCCGCAGACCGTCATTTCTTAAATCTTCTCCCTCGTGAGCTCTGCGGTTTGTTTGCCCCGAGCGCCGTCTGCAGGCGATCTCTGGGGAAACGCTGAAGTGCAGGTTGCCGGAAGGAGGGGGGGGTGGTCTCTGACGGGCGGGGCTGGTGGTGGAGCTGAGCGAGACGAAGCTGCTGCTGCTGTGGAGCGTCGATGTTTCTGCCTCTGCTCGCGACGATCTTTCCAGCGGGCTGGGGGACGGGATGAGCCGCGCGGCTTGATGAGATGGCGCACAGCTTCCGACATCTCCTCCGACTGCTTCGAGTTCGCCAGCATGGTCTTTAAGCTGCTTCCGAACAACGCGTCCGATGTGATGGGGCCCTCCATCAAGTCCTTGTGCAGCTTTTCCGGCAGCAAGGGAGAGTGACGAAGCCAGGTGGAACGTTGGATTACCGTCATCCACGCTGCAATCCTCGACAGGCAAACCGTGGAAGCGGCGCACATGTTGAGGATGGCGTCTGCCGATTTACACAGGGAGCTCTTTGTCTCCTCTGGCAGGTCTGCAGCCTCCAGCCTCTTCGACATGCTAAATGCTAGCAGCGCCACGTTGTTGCTAGCTGCGGCCGCCTGAAAAGCACACTGGTGGGCTCGGTTGGAGAGCGCGGTCACCGCCTGGTCGTGTTTCCCCGGAGGGACGGGACGCTTCTCCAACCTGGACAGCTTCGCTCCGAAGGCTTCCACGAGGCTTGGCTCAAGGGGGGGTACCGAGGGATAACCCCGTTCGGTGAATCCCTCCACTCTGGTGATGGGGGCGTAAGTAGAGACGGGCGCCCTTAACCTACCAGGACCGGCTGCGGCCTCGTTCCAGTACGATGTCACCGCTGGAAAACGAGGCCAAATGGGATCAGGACGGCGAGCCGGCGTGGAGCCAAACCTTCCCGCAAGATCATCCGATCTGAGCGGGGGGGGGGGGGGGGGGACGGAGAGCCCCTTTACGTTAGCAGCTTCCCGGATAATGGCGGGCAGCTCCAAGAGGAGCGCGCCGACGGCAGGGAGCGGTGTGGTCATTGAGGCGGGAAACCCCGGGGGAGTCGAGCATCCGCTCGGCCTCCCTCTTTCCAACATTGCGCTCCCCGGGATGGAACGAGTGTCGGGGCTGCTGCTAACATCACCGGTCCCAGAGGAATCATCCGAATCACTCCGAGAGCCGGCGTCGAAGAAATCCATGGCGTCGTCCAGCGAGCAGTCTCCCGCCACGGACAGGCAGTCCTCGATGGTAGCCTTAAACAAGGCTGCTCTCCTCTGCCTTTCCTCCGGTGGAAGTTCGTCACAGAGGCGGCAGGAGGAAGCGCGGGCGACGTGGCGGGGACCCAGGCATCCCTCGCAGGTGTCGTGCCGGTCGAAGCTGAGCAAGTAACCGGTCTTGCAGGAGGGACACAAGCGGATGGTGCTGGAGCTGGACATCTCGATGAATAGGTCAGTTGTTTTATTATATTAGCTTGCTGAAGAAAAATGGGAGCAGATTACCCGCTCTTAATGTAATTTATACGGATCGGGTGGGGCCCACACAGCAGGTGGGCGTGGACTAATTTTTTCAGTATGATGCTTGCGCATAACGGGATAAACCCATCAGCGACAGCCTTAAAGGGCGAAGCCTATATGACATAGAACTTTTCATTATTTAAATGTTAATTGCTGCTTGAAGGTTAGTCAATACAGGTAAAAGTATGAAGCATAATTAAACTTTGTCTATTAAATAAAAAATAGTCTATTTTAGTTTTAAAAATCATTGTTTAGCTAATTAAATCAAATGTTATCTTAGTTGTAAACTTGCAAGGTGAATTAATTGAGGTTATGCAGTGGTCAAAACCTGTGAACGGTAATGATGAGACAAACAAAAGCGACGCTATTCATTTCACTAACAATGCTGTACTTTTGATAAACAGAGAAATATCTATCTACAGCACTCTGTGAAAAAAGAATACCTTATTCATGACTGCAGTTTGTTACATATATTTATATATTTTTTTTCATTTTCAAAAGAAAGACTTTTGTTGCAAACTTTTCCAAATCTGATAACTGTGAAAGTACCTAGGTACATTACTGTGTGGCAAAATTTAACATGTGCGCCTGCCATTCAAGGTAGAGCTGTCATTTCTAACCCAAGCCCTAAGCCCGGCCCCACTCGGCCCTAATTCAGGGTGGGCTGGGCCATGATAATGTGCTGGATGGGTGGGCTGCATCGGTGCTGGGCTTTTAATCAGGTCAGGATCAGCCGCAATCCATTTATATGATAACATGGCCTGCCATATTTTCATCAGCCGCACGCGACCATTTCGCCGAGAGCTGATCGGCCTTGAAAGAGGTAAAAAGTTCAGTTAAGATTCAGATGGGACTATACTGCCAGGCAGCGATCCATCGCCCAAATGGACGTTCATTCAGCCGCTACACTCAGTGGATGCACGCGGCCGACGACCCAAACAGGTGAGATCCCAAAGCAGATGTGTCAGAGACAGGTCCGTGTCTGAAGAAATCAGAATGCAGGTAGAATCAGGGTTTAAATGCTCTATTACGGCCATGAAAGGACAAACACCTCTCAGCTCCAAATTGTCTACCCCTTTTATTCAGCTGTGCATCTCTGACCGTTAATAAATAATTAAAAATGTTGGGGGGTTTTTCGGGTTCGGACCTGTAATTACTGTAAATTCGTCGTGGGGTTCGGAAATTATGACTGCGGGCTGGGGCCGCTCGGGTCGGATCAGATGTTTTGGGCTCGAATGCAACTCTAATTCAAGGTGCGTATGAACAGAGAGTGCAAGGTGATGAAGGATCCCCACGACCCTCCATGGCCACCAACCTCAAAAATTAATCAGGCGCCGTTGGCTGCTGCTGCCTAGACTTGACCAGAACAAGTGGAAGATATTTGAATTGTTTTTTCTTGAAAACTAAAACTAAAAACTGTCATAACGTTATGTAGTTTCCTTGAACATGTTAAATGTAGTACAGTGAAGAGAGTGTGGTTGGTTTTATCTATGACTGCTGTCAGAGAGAAATCTAGGACTGAGTGGGTTCACTGCAATCATTGTAAGCATTAAACATTTTCACTTTCTGTTATTGTTTTGCTGTCAGTAAAAGTTAGTTAAACTTTGCTTAGACTTTGACAAAAATAAAATAAATCAAAATAAACTAGAGAAAGCCATGGGAGCATTTTTTTTAAAACGGTGTAAATGTTTACTCCTTTCCTCCCAATCTTCTGGAGGTTTTAGTTCCATTAATACTCACGGCAAAATGTCTCATTTCTCCATGGTCTGACGGTGACCCCACGATCCTGGCACTCGTTGACATAGGCCTCAATGGCTTCACACAGAATGGCCTTGGCTCCATCCAGTTCACACAAGTCAAAGACACAGTCCCTAAAATAACTCTGGAGACAGGAACACAGTCTGCGTTAAAATGCTGAATCCAGTCTCCAGAACTTCACACATTTTTATACTTTCTATTTAACATATTAATGTTCCAGATGTTTGGGAAACAGCTGTTGTTCTACCATTATTTAAGGGAGGAGGCCCCACTACACTGAACAACTACCGACCAATTTCCAAACTCTATTTTAGCTAAGGTTGTAGAAAAACTGGTAAATACTCAAGTCAAGAAGTATTTAGACTCGTAACATTTTATCTTCCCACCAAACTGGCTTCAGGAAACATCATAGCACAATGACTGCTTCAGCATGCATCAGGATGCTTCAATAAAGGTTTTTAATCATGTTGTTGAAACACTGAATGCTAAAAATTACTGTGCTACACTTTACTTAGACCTGCCCATAGCCTTTAATACTGTAGATCATGACATCTTATGCCATAAGCTCTCAGATATTGCTTTCTCAGATCACACTGTTGGTTGGTTTTTGTCAGAGAAAGCACTGTTTTTTGCAGGATCGGACCCAATGGTGCAGGTGGACCAGAAGAGACTCCACAGAGTAAAATAAATATATATTTATTTAAACAAAACAAAACGCTGATGTGGCAGCAAAACACTGGAAAGGAGAACATGTAAAAGACCACAAGGGAAAGGTTTAGCAGCACAGGGGAACCCAGACAATGATCGGCTGCCCAGGACAGGGAAACACATGACACTAATGATGGTAAAACAGAAATAGCTGGGAAGCACAAACAGGTGGCATAAGGCTAACTAATTACAGGAAGACAGCAACAGAGCAGGACTAAGACAAAAACACCAGAGGAAGACAGAACTAGACCACCACTCCAAATTTGGCTGAGAGGTAGGGGGAAGCAATAGGATGGAGGGCACAAGGGGAAACACGAGGGAGAAACCAAAAATTGACAGGTAGAACCTGAGAACTAGACATAGGGGAAACTAAGGAAACAAACACAATTAAAGTTGCAAGCAGCATTGAAGGCCCTCGCAGCAAAGCGCTGCTCTGGCCTTACGGTGACCGCGGGAGCTCCAGCGACTCCGCCCAGTCGCCATCGCGAACGCTCTCATTCGATTCCCACACACGTCCACCAGAGCGTGCATATGCCGAATCTTTGCAATCACCTTCAGCCCATATCAGTATGAGTCCGGCTACAAGCCTTACAAGTTTGGCAAAAATCCGACCTTCCGGACAGGACTTATTGTCACTTCCTGTTTTGTTGCGAATGTAAAGGACTTCCTTTAGGCTTTTCAACATGTCATAAGTGGTAATCAACAGTTAGCAAATATGGTTTCAGAATTATATCTTACACAGTGGCAAGCTGGAAGAGTCACCCAATAATCATCAGTTTCTTCTCCGAGTGGGCCGTGCTTAAGTCAAGTCATGAATCAACAATACCAGTGTGTCTACAAGTGCTCACTGATGAAGCATAAAAAAATCTGGTTTAGATCAGATCATGTATCACTGAGATATAACAGATGGAATAATATAGGGGGCGCACTTGAGTCATATGTTAAATCACAACATCAATGTGTCTAGACTTGGTCACTGATCATGCACAAAAAAATCTGGTTCCGATCGGATGATGTATCATTGAGATATAACAGTTTGAATCATCTAGGGGGCGCACTTGAGTCATATGTTAAACAACAACACCAATGTGTCTAGAAATGCTCACAGATTAAGCACCAAAAATCTGGTGTGGATAGGAAAATGTATCATTGAGATCTAACTGTTGGAATAATCTAGGGAGCGCACTAGAGTCATGTGTTAAACTACAATATCAATGTGTCTAAAAGTTGTCACTGATGACGCACAATAAATCTGGTGCAAATTGGATTTGTATCACTGAGCTATAACTGTAGGAAAAATGTAGGTGGCGCTGTGGAGGCTATTGGCCACTTATCATGGATACCTGTTCAAGGGGTGGATAATGGTCGATCATAGTGATTGTGGTGCACCTCGGCTGAAATCTGTGCAATTTAGAGCCAAACGTATTGCAACAGCGTCACTTCTTAATTCGTCACGCCGCCACGCCCACATCCTCAAGCAAAAACTGTTTGCGTTTTAAATCAAGTCAGACCATATTATCTGTCTTCTAACACAGGATCATCCTGATTAGGTCAATGGTGTCAAAGAGGAAGCATTCCAAGTTAAAAAACAGACTTCCTGTTCTGAGGGGGCGGGGCTTTGATCACGTCAAAACATGACCACAGTGGATCGTCGGGCATCCAACCGGTATGATTCATACCAAGTTTTGTGCATTTCGGTCTTTCATTGTGAAAGTTTAAGCGTTTGGAAATTTATGGCGTGAAGTGCAAATTTGAGGCCTGGCCACACCCTTTTATCATATACGAAACCAAAAGCTTTTGATAACTTTTACTCCGCAATGGGTTAAGGGCATATCAACCAAGTTTGAAGGTAATCCTTTAAAATTCCTAGGAGGAGTTCGTTAAAATTCGCCATTAGAAACGCCCATAAATGACCCTTTGACCCAAAATGGCCGACTTCCTTTTGAGTTTGGACCAGGGCTCCAAGCGACTTTTTCATAGGTCCTGAGAAGATACAGATGTTCACCAAGTTTCAGAATGTGGCACTGCTGAGGTGTTATGGAGGCCCAGGATGCTTCGATAGCGGCCTTAAGCTCATCCAGAGTGTAGGGTCTTGTGTCTCTCAACTTTCTCTTCACAATATCCCACAGGTTCTTTATGGGGTTCAGGTCAGGAGAGTTGGCAGGCCAATTGAGCACAGTAATACCATGGTCAGTAAACCATTTACCAGTGGTTTTGGCACTGTGAGCAGGTGCCAGGTCATGCTGAAAAACTAAATCTTCATCTCCATAAAGCTTTTCAGCAGATGGAAGCATGAAGTGCTCCAAAATCTCCTGATAGCTAGCTGCATTGACCCTGCCCTTGATAAAACACAGTGGACCAACACCAGCAGCTGACATGGCACCCCAGACCATCACTGGCTGTGGGTGCTTCACACTGGACTTCTGGCATTTTGGCATTTCCTTCTCCCCAGTCTTCCTCCAGACTCTGGCACCTTGATTTCCGAATGACATGCCAAATTTGCTTTCATCTGAAAAAAGTACTTTGGACCACTGAGCAACAGTCCAGTGCTGCTTCTTTGTAGCCCAGGTCAGACGCTTCTGCCGCTGTTTCTTTCGGTCACAACCCAAAGCTCGTGACCATAGATGAGGGTGGGAACGTAGATCGATCGGTAAATTGAGAGCTTCGCCTTTTGACTCTGCTCTCTCTTCACCACGACAGACCTGTACAGCGCCCACTTCACTGCAGACGCTGCACCTATCCGCCTATCGATCTCACGCTCCATTTTTCCCTCATTCGTGAACAAGACCCCAAGATACTTGAACTCCTCCACTTGGGATAGGACCTCCTCCCTGACCCGGAGAGGGCACTCTACCCTTTTCTGGCTCAAGACCATGGCCTCGGATTTGGAGGAACTGATCTTCATCCCGGCCGCATCGCATTCGGCTGCGAACCGCTCCAGTGAAAGCTGTAGATCACGATCTGATGAAGCCAATAAGACCACAGAGCCGCATGTTGCTTGGACTGCCGGTACCCATCAGCTGCTTCTGGGGTCCCACAGGCCAAAAAGGCCTGATAGGACTCCTTCTTCAGCCTGACAGCATCCCTCACCGACGGTGTCCACCATCGGGTTCGAGGGTTGCCGCCGCGACAGGCACCAACAACCTTGCGGCCGCAGCTCTGGTAAGCCGCCTCGACAATAGAGGCACGAAACATGGTCCACTCAGACTCAATGTCCCCCACCTCCCTTGGAACATGTTCAAAGTTCTCCCGGAGGTGTGAGTTGAAACTCCGTCTCACAGGAGACTCTGCCAGACGTTCCCAGCAAACCCTCTGGGCTGTGCTCAGCTGTCCCATTGACGAACGGGTGCTCGATTGCCCCTCCCTCTGAGAAACTCTCCCCCACTCTTCGAGCTGGGTTTGGGGAGAAATGGGTGTAGGATGGAGTAGAAAACTGGTGGTTCTGGCTTTACTTTTTCAATGGCCCTTCTTCTGGTGGTGGTTTGCCCTGAGCTGAGTCTCCCTCCTTTCTTCTTTCTCGACAAGAAGGGGTGATGGCAAATCCTCAATCTCCAGGCTGTGGTGTCACTGGCTCTGGATCGGTTCACTCCAGAATCCACTCTGCCAGATGACAGACACCTGTTCTTGGGCTCCATAATCAGCCCAAGACGTCTACCTGCTAAGTCCTTGTTGTGAGCCGATCATTCTGTCGGAAAAAGTGCTGGTTTTGCAGGATCAGATCCAATGGTGCAAGTGGATCACAAGAGATTCCATGGAGTAAACTAAATATATTTATTTAAACAAAACAAAATGCCAACATGGCAGCAAAACTTACTCAAAAGGAGAACACGTAGAAGATCACAGAGAAAGGCTTATAACAGGAGAACCCAGACAATCATCAGCTGCCCAGGACAGGGAAACACAGGCTTAAATGCATGACACTAATGATGGTAAAACAAACAGCTGGGAAACATAAACAGGAGGCAGAAAGGTAACTAATTACAAAAAGACATTAGGAGAGCAGGGCTATGACAAATCGCCAGAAGAAGACAGAACCCAGAAAATCACAATCCCTACAGTTTTCTAAGTATCTCTCATGTCAGAGGCAATGTGTTCGACACAATGGTACTTCGTCTTGCTATTTAACGGTCACTAATTGTGTGCCAAAAGGCTCAGGTTTTGGGCCACTCTTTTTAAGATTTATATAAGTAATGTAGGTCAAAACATTCTTTACGCCTCCTTGCTGATGATTCAGTTGTTTATTGTAGAGCAAACACAGTTGCCAAGTTTTTCCAGCTTCTACAGTCTGCATTTGACATCATTGAGTCTGACTTGTTCCATCTCAAACTGGTGCTAAACTCTGATAAAACCAAGGGGATGTTGTTTTCAAACAGAAAGTTGGTGCCAGCAACTCTCCCTCCTGTCTCATTCATGCATGGTGTTCCTATTGAGTTTGTGGATTCTTACAAATATTTGGCAACTTTAGTTAATGTACATCTCTCTTTAAAATCACATGTTGAAAGCTTGATAAAGAAACTGAAATTAAATCTGGGTTTCTTTTTCAGAAATAAATTTTGCTTAACTCTACACTCCAGAAAACATCTTGCAGCTACTACTTTCCTACTAGCCATTGATTGTGGTGACATTATTTGCATAAATGCCCCTGCCAATTCCTTGCAAATTTTGGGTGCTGTCTATCATAGCACGTTAAGGTTCATAACTGGTTGTAACTAACATACCCATCACTGCAATCTGTATTCATTGGTCAAATGGTCATCATTATGTACATGTAGGCCCTCACACTGGTTCGTTTTCATCTTTAAATCACTCCTTGGTCTGCTGCCTTCTTATATCTCCTCCTACAATCTAGCTAAAACCTAATCTACAACCTATCTCCTCCTTTAGCGTATTTCTTAGTTCATATCTTAGATCTTATTACGGTTTTTCTTCACAGTTTATATTTTTGTTTGATGTAACTGGGACCCTGTGGACACAGTTTCATTCCACCACATGTACCACATGTGGTACAAATGAAAAATAAAAAAACTTTGACTTTGGACTTTGACTACAAGTCACATCGACAGTGTAGTTACAGCATGCACTCAGGCCTTCATTACCTGCAACGTCCCCTCAGTGCGGACTGAACTCATCAAAAGGCCTTTTCCTACTCTGCCCCTGCAACCTGGAACACCTTGTAAATAGATCTGAAGTTGTCCACCTTAATTTCTTTAGGGGACTTTAAGCATTTAATAAAGTCAATAGAAAAAAATCAAAGCAAATATTTTCTTGTTTTTAGGATTTTACCTTGTTTTATAAGGCATCTTGATTTTATTGTTTTATAACACTACTTTTATTTTAATTGCTTTATATTGTTTTATATTGTCTGTACATTATATGTTGTCTGTCTAAAACAGGTTTCTCTTGAAAATGAGTCATCTTGACTCAATGAGACTAACCTGGATAAATAAAGGTTGAATGAAAAATAAATGAATAATTTAAAACTCCCCCCTTCTTTCCTGTTATTTTACTGTAAACAGTAGCAAAGAGTCAAACACATAATTCTACAATTATGAGCACAACTCATGGTGTTTAAGACAAAACCAAAGTCAGTCAACTTTGACAGGAGTTCTGATTCAGTTAATGTGTGGAAAATTAAAGTACTGTAGCTGTGACTCATCGAGTTCTGAAGGTTCACCTCACAGCTGTTTTATCAGATGTAGATGAACCTTCATGTCATTGTAACTCCTAAAGGAGAGAATGTGTGCTGTGTGCATACGTTGGGGTTGACTTTGTGGTGGCACACAGCAAATGGTCCGTTTTTGTCCAGCAGGAAACCACAGTGTTCAGAGTTCTCATAGAGCTCCTCCTCTGCTTCATCACATCCAGGGAGGGTGGTGTTTGGTTTCTTATTACACCTGTCAGCACAAACATCCACTTCAGCAAAGTGTAGGAATCACCATGTGACAAAAACATAATCAAAATCAATTCATAGATTTACTCTAGTTTATGAAGAGGATAAATAAACCTTTTGTCTAAAAGAAAAAAAATTACATCATAGAACTAATTTAAATTAAACCGAAGCCATATTCAAGGTCAATAATCTAGGTAGAAAAATCTAACAAAGTTCAGTCAGGTCCTCTGGACGGTTTCAAAGTTTAGACATTTCATCAAGAAGAACCCATCCAGAGGACCTGTGTGAACTTTGTTAAACCAAAGCCAGCCAGCCAGCCATCCATCCATCCATTATCTTCCGCTTGTTCTGAAGTCAGGTCTCGGGGGCAGCAGCTTGAGCAGAGAGGCCCAGACATCTTTTTCCACAGCCACCTCTTCCAGCTATTCTGGGAGGACTCCAAGGCATTCCCAGGCCAACTGAGAGACATAGTCTCTCCATCGTGTCCTGCATCTTCCCCGGGGTCTCCTCCCAGTTGGACATGCCTGAAGCACCTCCCTAGGGAGGCACCCAGTATGTATGATACATGTGATCAGCTGCTCCTGAGTGTGCCAAAGACAAAGCGTAAGCTCAGAGGAGACCGTGCTTTTGCTGTGGCTGCTCCTAAACCATGGAACCACCTTCCCTTAAACATCAGACAGGCCTTTTCCCTGTCTGTCTTTAAATCCCTTCTTAAAACCCATTTCTTCTCCCTGGCTTTTGACACCATCTGTAATGTTGACTTTTTTTTAAAATTTTTTTATCGTTCTTTATTCTATGATTGTTTTATTATGTGTACAGCACTTTGGTCCTGTGGGTGTTTAAAGTGCTGGAATGGTCTGATAAAAACCTGTTTATGTACCAAAATGTTCCTCTGGTCATGTGAGTGGCTGAGCTGTTGTGTAAAGCTTGTTCCATTCTCCAAAACAAGAGGAACAAAGCTAGTTTTGGTGAGAACACCTCAGACTACATGAGAAACTTGTGGGTAGGTCCTCACAGACCTCCTTGCAGTAGAACTGATGGCCCCCCACCAGCTTCACCCCTTGTTTGACCTTTGTAAAAAAAATATCATTTTGTGTGTCTTTACAGATGTGAAGATTTCTTTAGAACTATTCAAACCTCCACACCGTAGGAGAAATAGGAATGTAAACATATATTTGTGACCAGTCACTCATTAGTTCTGCACAGGCGATGTCCTTACTCTGGATCAGTGTTCCAGCTGTGTCCAAAGTCATTAGCATTGTTGGTCAAGGTTCCATCTGGTCTACGGAAATCGTCTTTAGCATCTCCATTATAGTCTCCACACAAACCACACAGTTTGTTCTGATAGCTGTGAACCATAAGAACATCAAGTTAAGTGTTCTATATGTGTTGATTCTGCAGAACATCCAATGATAAAATTTGAGACTTTAAAGACCAGGAGAACAGCTAAGAGCAGCTCAGATTTAAGAGTCATGTGCATCAGGACCAAATAGCTTACAAACCTTTATCAGGACCAAATATGACAACACAACGAGCTGATGACTTACTCTTTGATTATTTTCAGGTCCACGAAATGGTTTCCATCGTAGCGAACTATGACACCAAAGTTCATGGACACAGTGTAATGTTTCCCTGACTTGAAGACAGAAACGCCAGCTGCAGGACTCACAGGGATGTTGACCATGGTCTTGTTCACCTGTGAGGAACAGAAGTTACTCAGACACAACAGGTGCACAAACTTACATTATTTATGTAAAACAGGAACAGTGCCAGGAATATAAAATGGAATTTTTAGCATTTTAATCAAAAATATTTATTAACCATTTAAGCTATAAGCAGAGGTTCCAACTGAAACAAAAGAAAATGGAGGGTTCCCCTCTCTGTAAGCTGTTACTGTGATGCAATCAGAGGCATCCCAACAATTACATGTGAAGGGGACGTGAGTCCTCCACATTTATATGATATTCATACACCCCCCCCCCCACACACACACAAACATTTGCCACAAAAATTAGTTCACTCAGTGCTGTTTCTATATTTTGTGAACAAATCCATTCTGCTCGATTAATAGGAGAATACTCAAACCACTAAAAAACCAGTCCAGGTTTTACTGGTTACCTACAACAACTTCACACCTCATGCAGTGTTTGCTCTCGGTCATCTGCCTTGGCAGTGTGCTCACGGGGGAAGAGGAGGACACCTCTGTTTTACATGCTCACAGCACCATGTTAGTGCTGAACGTTGTTGATGGGTGTGTGTGTGTGTGGTGGTGGTGGTGGTGGTGGTGGTGGTGGTGGGGGGGTTACGATGTGTGAGAAAAGTGGAGCACTACATCTGTAACATCTTAGCTAAAGCGTCTGTATTGCATGCTGCTAGCTTGGTGCTACGTTAATTCCAGCAGTTTTCGATGCAAGGGGCTGGGTCTAAAATGCGTAAGAGAAGCCAAAACAGCACTGGTGAAAGTCACTAATGATATTCTTGATAATGATATTGATATTATTACAGGAACTGCTCTAAAATGGTTAAAAATCTTGATGTTATTTTTGATCAGGATAGGACTTTTTACCCCCACATTAAAACCATTACAAGAACTGCCTTCTTACATCTGCATAGTATTGTCAAAATGAAAAACAAATGATGCAGAAAAACTGGTTCATGATTTTATCATGTCTAGACTGGACAACTGCAATGGTTTGTTATCTGGGTGTCTAAAAACATCTTTAAAAGGTCTTCAGCTGATCCAAAATGCTTCTGCCAGAGCCTTATATGGGAGTTAGTAGGACAGATCATATTTCTCATTTTTAGCTTTTCTCCATAGACTCCATGTCAAATTCAGAATAGAGTTTAAAAATCTAATTTCTAACCTGCAAAGCTCTCAACAACATAGCTCCGTCTTATATTGCAGATCTTATTGTCCCATATTTTCCTAACAGAGCACTTCACTCTCAGACTGCAGGCTTACTTGCAGTTCCTAGAGTTTCCAAGAGTAGAATGGGAGGCAGATCTTTCAGTTATCAGGCTCCTCTCTTGTGGAAGCAATTTCCAATTTCTGTCTGTAAGGCTGACACATTATCCACTTTTAAAACTGGGTTTAAGACTTTCATTTTTGATAAATCCTATTGTTAGAGTTTGCTTGTTATGATGCAATAGGCTTACACTACTGGAGGAAAAATTGACCTAATTGCTTAAAATAAATTGTTACAAATGAATAGTTTCCATTTGATATTATTTATATCTTAACATTGAATTCTTGACCTGCCATTGTATATATGTTACTCCTTCCTGTCCTAGCAAGCCCAACTGGTTGAAGGAGATGGCCGCTTGTCCTGAACCTGGTTCTGTTGGACACTTCTTCCTCATGAGGGAGTTTTTCCTTTCCACTGTTGCCTTTAAACTTGCTCAAGATGAGAATCATCCTCCTTGAAATGCCACCTTATTGTGGTGGAGGAGTTTGTGTGCCTGAATGATCCTAGGAGCTATGCTGTCTGAGGCAATTTTAATTTCCCCTGGTAGGGTCTCCCAAGGCAGATTGGGTCTAGGTGACAGGTCAGACGAAGAGCAATTCAGAAGACTTCTAGGGATGAATTATAGCAAAGAGTTCAGTGTCGCTTGCCCGGACTTGGGTTACCAGGGCCCCACCCTGGAGCCAAGCCTGGGAGAGGGGCTTGTCATCAGGAACCTGGCGACCGTTTCTCTACCCATGGGGCCTGATTGGGCCCAGCCCGAAGAAGAAACATTTGTGTCCTTCCTGTGGGCCCACCACCTGCAGGAGGGGTCATACAAGTCGGTGCATATGTCATGGGCAGTGGCCTAAGGCAGGGACCTTGGCACTCTGATCCTGGCTTACCAACGATGGCTCTTGGGACATGGAACGTAACCTCTTTGGCAGGGAAAGGAGCCTGAGCTTGTATGTGAGGTTGGGAGGTACTAACTACTGTAGATATAGTTGGGCTCACCTCAATGCACAGCATGGGCTCTGGAACAAATCTCCTTGAGAGGGGCTGGACTTTATTCCACTCTGGAGTTGCCCATGGTGGAAGGCGCTGAGCTGGTGTGGGTCTAGTGGGAGACTTTAATGCACAATTGGGTAATGACAGTGTGACCTGGAAGGGCATGATTGGGAGGAACAGCCTCTCTGATCTCAATTAGAGCGGTGTTCTGTTGTTGGATTTCTGTGTCAGTCATAGTTTGTCCATCACAAACACCATGTTTGAACATAAGTGTGTCAGTAAGTGCACTTGGTACAAGGATGCCCTAGGTCATAAATCGATGATTGACTTTGTAGTCGTGTCATCCGATATGCGGCCATTTGTTTTGGACACTTGGGTGAAGAAAAGAGCTGAGCTGTCAACTGATCACCACCTGGTAGTGAGTTGGGTCAGAGGCGGGAGAAGATGCCAAACAGACCCGGTAGACCCAAACGTGTAATGAGGGTTTGCTAAGAACGCCTGGCAGAAGAACCTGTCAGAAATATCTTCAATTTTCACCTCCGGGAGAGCTGTAACCGCATCCCATCTGAGGTGTGGGATATTGAGTCCAAGTGCGCCATGTTCTGCACCTAAATTGTTGCAGTTGCTGTCTCGAGCTGTGGCCGCAAGTTTGTCGGTGCTTCTCATGGTGGCCATCTTTGAACTTGGTGGTGGACACCCCGGATTAGGGAAACTGTCAAGCTGAAGAAGGAATTCTATCGTGCCTTGTTGGCTGGTGCGACTCCAGAGGCAGTTGAGGAGTACTGGATGGCTAAATGGTCCACAGCCTTGCATGTTGCTGAGGCAAAAGCTTGGAAGTGGGAGAAAATTGATGAGGCCCTGGATAACGACTCTCGGTCGGCTCCGAGGAGATTCTGGCAAAACCTCAGGTGGCTGAGGAGTGGAAAGCAGCACTTTACAAACACTGTGTTCAGTGAAGGTGAGGTGATGTTGACCTCAACCAGTGATGTCATCAGGAAGTGGAAGGAATACTTCTCGGACCTTCTCAATCCGACTGGCACATCTTCCATGAAGGAAGCAGATTCAGGGGACTTCAGGGGTGGTCTGTCCATAACTGTGGCTGAGGTCACCATGGTTAAAAAGCTTTGAGACTGCAGGGCTCTGGGGATAACTAAGATTCAACCTGATTTCCTTAAGGCTCTGGCTGTTGTGGGGCTATATTATTTAACCTAGCTGCAGATACAGCTTAGTTAATTTTTCCCGAGTTTTTTTTTCTTCAAGGTAATTGCAATGGTTGTTTCGTGCTTGGTTAGAGAATGTTACAACCGGGGAGACATTTCGGCAAAGCGCAGTTTTTACTTAATCCCAAAAATAAGGAAATGTGAAGGAACTCAAATAGTGGCGCTCACCACAGAACATTGTTGAGTCTGGCTTTCAAATATCATTTGCAAGGATCTGCCCTTGAAGATGTCAAGAATATGCTCCGATCACTTTTTGTCCAGTAGACAAAAAAATTCTATATCAATCATTTTGTGAAACAATGTTAGAACAATTTCAGAGTATAACGGTATGTGTTGGAACTACTCTGTTCATGATCTAGCACATATCTACTGTAGTTAGTTTAGCAATGCTATGCTACGTGCTAAACCTCCACAACGTAACACTCACGACAACAAAGTTATGCTTATATTCCCATGTTGAGCGGGACATCAGTGTATGAAAGTGATAAATACTGATTACTCTTTTTAGAATGATTTGTTCAATTACCTTTGTAGAGATCTAGTAGAGTACTGTATGAATGGGTAAATGAGGACACAGATTGTAGTGTAAAGCGCTTTGATTGTCTTGATAAGATAGAAAAGCGCTATATAAGTACAGTCCATTGACAGTTCATTTGAGCCTGGCCTCTTTGTTGCTGGGAGGCTGCATGTTAATATTTTATTTTAAACCTTTATTTAACCAGTTAGATCTGATTGCGACTTAAACATCTCTTTTTCAATACAGACTGGTTCCAAGAATGGCATTACAGCAGCACACAACACATTACCCATCATAAAACCAGAATTATTAAAGCACACTTGAAATAAATGATGGTAAATAAAAGAAGAAAAAAACACACATAAAGCTAAAATTGTACTAAAATGTGAGTAAATATCAGTTTAAGAATTTACAAAACAAATCTGTCATTATAAAATAATGTGTGTGCGTGTGTGTGTCATACATATACAGTGTATATATATATTATATATATCCATCCATTATCTTTACCCGCTTATTCCATTTTGGGTCACGGGGGTCGCTGGTGCCCATGTCCAGCAATCACTGTGCGAG